TAGAATGGGCTACCAGGGTCCTTGTACATCTGTCGATGCATTTCAGTAGGTACGTGCAACCGTTAGAATGGGGTAAAGAACTTAATGAATCCACGTTTACATGTGTAAAACGTACATCCAGTTTAGAAAGAGCTCCTGCAGGCGAAAGTGCATGTCGGTTCACCTTGAACTGTGAACGTGCTGTCTCTAACCCAACATCGTACATCACATTGTAAACTGAACTAAGTATATCTATAAGCAACGCGTTTAGCGGATACTTTCACTCCAGGGCGGGACAACAAGTGAAACTTATCGAATACTAACTTTGTAAGCACTAATTTTTAGGCATATAAAGTCTAGGAGGATCTCTTGTCATGCAACAGTAAGTATGTCTATCATCTGTGGATGAAGATAACTGTCCAAGTTTCGGTCTACGGCTGCCTCTGGGAACTAAATTTCTAAATTTTTCATCTTTCTCTCCCTTTGTAGCCAAGGCCTTGAAATCTATGGTGGATTGACGGAAAGTGCTTACGTTTAGTCCAGACAAAGCCTCTACAACACAATTTTGTGTGCCCCTAACGTGTTTTATATCGCTCACAAATTGTGACGTAAAGCCAGGGTGACGAATTTCACGTGGTGAGTATTTATCAGGCTTCGCATTGGGCACATTAACCAAAGGCTTGTGATTTGTGTAGACCGCGAACGTCTAACCCTTTACCATGTGACGGGAGTGTTTAATTGTTAGGATGATCACCAACAGCTCCCAGCAGTACGTTTAATACAGGGTTTCGGGTGGAGAAAGACAAGTTGAAAAGAACGCCACTAGTTGCCACTAATCCTCCACCAACTGATTCACTCCACTCTCATGGTCTTGTTGTAAGCATTCACAATGAATGCCATTGGTGCAGTGAGATCGAGGTATTTTGGAGCAATAGGCTTCGCTGTTTTGGATTCGCCAACATCTTTTGTGGAGAGCTTAAGGCCCTTAGGACTTCATCTTAAGAGTTGGTTAGGGGTTGCATGTTTTGTGTGCAGTGTGGTATGGATCCACGATAAAAATCGATTACGCTAAGAAAACCGCTTATTTGCGTGATGGGTACTGCTTGATAGTATTCACCTTTTTCGGCAGAGGTGATATTTCTTCTCCACTATTCACGTGTCCTAAGGATTCAATGATCTAAACCCCGAACACACATCTATTTTGACTTATCAGCCTGCTGTTGTTGTTCGGCTTTTTCTAACTGCTCTTATGTGATCCACGTATGGGTGTATAACCGGGCTGACAAGCAATAAATCATCAACGTACGGTTTGGTAAATGGTAAGTTCACAGAATATCATCCGTGTACCGTCGGAAAGTTTATGCGGCATTCCGAAGGCCAAAAGGCACCCGCACAGTTTTACAAACCAAATGGAGTCTTCTACAGGTAACGGAAATCTTATGGTATGAGCGGAATGAGTCACTTTTACAGAATGCGGTGGCACCTTTAAGGCAGTTGGTGAACCCTCTATCATGAGGTCCTAGGTACCGTCAAGAAGGGTTTATTCTTTTAGTGCCCTATAACCGCGACATGGTTGCCAGTCTGTTCAACTTTTTCGGGCACAGAGTGCAATGGGAAAGCCCATTGGCTGTTGGAAAGGCAGGTGATACTTAGCTGAAGAAAGTAACCAACTTCGGCCATAGCGATTTTCAGTCTTTCAGGCTGCGGACTCCCGTTCAAATACCGGAGGGTCTTGGACTTTCATGCTGTTTACTATCTCATGACTTGCGTGGTAGCTTTACCCGTCAGAGGACATAAGGTTTGGGAAATCCGCCAAAGTATTTCCGAACGTTTCGGTTGACGCTGCAGGAGACTGCATGAGATTCAAGGATGTGGTGGAACTGGCCTTACATGTCGCAGGTCTGGAAGTTCCCCTCAACGCCAAACTCCGCGATTTTTCATGCACTAAAAATTCATACCCCTGAAAAACCTATACGCATTACTGTTAGGTCTAAGTGTATCGCGGTGAGCGCCCAAGGGAACTGCCATTTAGGTGCAAGTTCAGCGGTTATGGTCTCCTACCCGGACGTCACCATTTGTGTTCCATTAGCAGCCTGTGAAGCGACCGCGGAGCTTTGGCATTTACGTTTGGCCGTCATATGGTGCTACACCGGGAAAGGCCCCTGTATCTATCAAGAATTGTGTCCGAATAGGCGACGGCCCGCCCTCTCTTTCCAGCAGTCGCTACCCGCGAGGGGGTCATACGTCGTCCTGTTCGCCAAGGGGTTGCCCAGGCCGGGCGAATGGTTACGTAAATCTTTAAGACTGTGCATCACGCTTCCATTGATAAAAACAAAATGGTTGGCACTGTCGAAACTATTTAGGCCAAATTCTTGATTGATATCTGGCCAGTGACTTGTCTTTTTGTCTTTGACTCATCTGGATTTCATACACCGTTCCTCTTAGTGCCTTCACGTTAGCCAATAGTTCTATGCAGATCGCGTCCTTAGATGAGCTTTGACCAGTAGAATAAGCTGCGTGGTTTTCCTGGGCCACACCATTCTCCGTAATGCAGCTTACTATTTGAGCCAGTTCTGGAAGTGTGGTTTCTGGTTCATGTGGGTCAGGCACATGTCAGACGTGGTGCGGCAGTGCCTAGATCCAACCCTTTTTGAGGATGGCTTCCCTGACAGGGTTGTCCCCCACCATCTTTTGTAAATACCTCGAAAACTAGGATGGCAATCTACCTCCCAGCATTTCCCCTCGTAACGGGCAGTTCCGTCAGCTGCTTGAAACAATAGGCGACTTAGTATCTGACGCTCGAGTGTGCAATAAAGTCGTTCCGCTGGAATATTAAGTATCAGCTCATGAATCTTTTTACTAACAAAGACTTCTCCTCCGCGAATACTTGTTGAGACTGATATTGGTGCACAGCTCAACATTCCATCAGGAAAGTATGCATACCTACTGCTCGAACAGCCCCCAAAGTTGTCCGACACTGCAGAGTTACACAAAGTACAGATAACTCATGCTGTTGTCCTCGATAAGCTATCAAAGCTAAGTGTGGGAAAATCCCGAGGGTGCGGTGACATTCGCCCATTTTTGTTGAAAGAAGGTGCAAGTACCATAAGTGGCCTACTCTGTAGTCTCTTCCAACACTCCTTAGACGAGCAAAAACTCCCACAAGAGTGGAAACGGGCTTTCCTTTCTCCCATCTTCAGAGGAGGAGACAGAATCCCAACTGCTATAGGTCCATAGCACTTCTACCAGTAATATCAAAAGTTACGGAGAATGAAATGGACGACTGCATCAGGTAATATCAGGACACGAAGCAAGCACTCACTGACGCTCAACATGGCCTCCGAAAGGGTAGGCTCTGTGCCCCCAACCTCCTGACGGCCCGTGTTCACTGGACAGTATGCTGGGACCCCAATGTCCCGGTCCACGCAATTTTTCTGGATCCCACCAGAGCCTTTGAAAATGTCCAACACAATGTTCTTATGCACAAAATAGCTGAGTTAGGTATCAACGGCCAAGTGCTATCACGGCTGCAGAACTACTTAGACAGTAGGGAGCTTTGCAGGACAGTCAACAGGGTCCACTCAACTTGGAGAACATTACCGTCCGGTGTCTCGCAAGAAGCAGTCAAGGGTCCATGGTTGTTCTACTTTTCTTCAATGACCTCCCACTGCGTATTACCTCTCTGATTCTCCTCTGCATCGATGACGTCAAGTTATAGGGGGGAATAACTTGCAAAGCGGAATCGAGACCATTACAGGATGACTACGAAACACTAAGGGAATGGGCAACAAATAACGAACTGGCATTTGACTTGGATAAGTGCCCGTCCATGTTTTTCCCTCTCCTGATTCACAGAAAGCACCATAATCTCTCTGTGGTTCACTTCTATCCCATACCACAGCAGAGAAAGACCTGGGTTTGACGGTGACGGAGAAATTGGACACTAGATCCAATTACCCAGGTGACGCCTAAAAACATACAGTGTGCTGCACTTTGTGCTCAGACAACTTGGTGCCCTCGTCCCAGAGCTCTTTTTGAAGCTCCACAAGACTTACATACGACCTCACCTGGAGGTCCATAATGTCTGCTCCATCACAACTCAAAAGAGGCACAAACCTACTGGCGAAAGTTCAGAGGCGAGTCAAAAAAGGGGTAGTTGGGATGCAATGAAAAACATATGAGGATAAATTGGAAGACATAGGCCTATGCTCTCTTAGCTACCGAAGGTTACGAGGTGACTCGATCATGGCTTACTAAGTGCTGAACAGCAATAGTCACCCGAACAAAGGATTACTACCGAGGGGCCACTATGTTGATCCTCGTGGAAACCCTGAGATAATCGCCAGCAAAGGTCAAAAACTCATGTGCGTTCACACTTCCCCCTCCGAGTCTGTGGGCATTGGGCTGCATTATCAGCAGAATAAGTCTCCGCATCATCTGCTGACAGCTTCACGAAAAGGCTAGACAGTCGCACAGAGACCGATGGTCTACCCACACATGGCTGGAATACTAACTAAACAAACGAAATCTACCGCTGCCACCCCATTCCATCTATTTAACCCCCCACAACCAGTTTCTCTTCCGTTGTAATCATTTAGGCCCGCTTCTTCCCCTCCACTTGGCATGGATTAGCCCTACCTACCTAAGTTCTTAATATCTTTGCATCCCTTATCGCCTAACTTGGGTGTAAGTAGACTACTACATTAGTCCACTTTTCTTTTTCGTTTTAATCACAGAACTTTTCCTTTCTGCGCTTTCCCTTCACTACCTCTAACTCTCTTTAATGATCAGTCCGAACAACTGTCTGGCAACTTGACATCTGAAGAACCCAACTGTACCACAGTCCAAATCAAATTAACCAAGATTAAGCTCCTGTTGCTCATACCAGAGCTATGGCAGGCGAGTAGCTGGATCTACTGCATCGGGATCTGAAAAAGACCTGGAACCTTTCCACAAGACAGAGAAGTGAGGAAGAAGAAATCAACTGGTTTACACAAGCTCGTTAAACAGATATTGGATAGTGGATGAAGGCGCGTTATATTTTAGTAGCGCTATAAAATGCGTCCACTCAAGTCAGTGCTTAGTACTCGTTTACGTTTAATAGGCGATGGGCCCAGGTGTTACTTATCTAGCCAGTCAAACAGCTCTTCTAAGAAGTTCCTTCCACTAGAAATCCGAGGGCTGACTAATTTTGCACTCAAGGATTATGAGCAGCAAACTAAAATGGAAGTGAGTATATTGGAGTTAACTTGCCAGCTAGCTATGCTTTAGAAACCGCTAAATATGTATGAAAGGTTTCCTAATGTTTTAAACTGGACAAATATCTGGCCAGCTGCTGCTACTTTCCACCATTCTGTCATTCCCTTTAATGTTCGTCAAGGACATTGCAAAGTAAGTTTCCCGGTTCACTTAACTTTTTGTGCATAGAATCTTGTAGAAAATAAAGGGATCCCTCCTGGAAAGTATGCGAACGTAGAGCTGATGAAAATCCCTAATTTTCTACACCTTACTGTTCCTCACATTAAAAAGCATTGTGATTCTTTGAGAAGTAAGTGGTCATAATAAATAATTTGCATAAGAGTATTGCACTGTATGGCCTTCTGGTTTGGATTCGGATGAAAAGATCGAAAAATATTACCCGCTCGAAGTAGTCAGTCACAGTTATGTGTTTACATCGACAAATATCCGTGACCCTCGTTCTCGAATGGTGACTCTCCAAGTAAGTTTATTGGTGTTATAGTCATTATGTTCATCATCCAGTTAAATATTGTGTATCTGCGTAATAACCCTCGATAACGGCTACAGTTGATAACATGAAATAGCGAGCATTATAAACTTTGCAGCAAATTACAATTCTCTCTGCACTTTTTAACTACTTTGTCAACTAATTACAAATTGTGAAGAATATTCTAGGGCTCAAAATGTAAACTTAGCTATGGGCTTGTGTCGAAGCTTTGGTACGTTTAGTAAGATTAGTTGGAAATAAAGCTGGTAATAACAATATCGGTACACTGCACCAACTCATAAAATCTATAGTCATTGGTCTGAAACATGTAGGGAAGTTTTTGTTATCTGGATGAGTTTCTAGAAATGCCAGGAATTTACAAACGGAGATTCTGGTGATTTTAGTTGGAAATCAACTACATTTTCTAAAACGTCTACACATCTTACCATTCTAAAGATTCCAAACATTCTTACTAATAATATAAGAAGGTTTTAATATAATCCCAGTGTGTTTGGAAAATCGGAACAAGATTCTTCTGGACGTTTCGTTGTGAATCTCACAGCTTCTTCAGCAGAGACATTCAGACAAATCTTGTTTTGATTGCCTTAACATGCTAAGATTGTATTAAAACCTATTTATGTAATGATTAAACCTGACTCGGCGCTCAATTTTCAGGACATTCGTAACAACTATGGTCTAGATGTTTGTAATTTTTATGAATCTCTATTTCTTTTTTCTATTTACTGTTGTACGCCTTTTATTTCATGTTTATCTCTGTCTATTCTTATCGTACCGTTTTAAAGTGTCGCAGGTTGAAACACTCTACCTTTGTGCAAGGTTATTTGCAAATCACTTTGTGTGAATTATGTTTGTTGTATATGGACTAACAACACCATATAATCGCCTTTATATTGATTGAAGCAATGTTCAAATCAGTGATACGCTGGTCACTCAAACTTCTAAACCAAAGCAAAATAAGCTACAGTTTCCTTATGAATCAATTGTATGACCAACTTTATTTACTTGTCCGTAGAACTTCAATAACCTTATTGGTCAGGTTTAATTTCTGCTTATGGATGCAGACAATAATAAGTACTTACATAGACTGACAGTATTTCCCATATTTATCTTAAGCGCACTATCGTATATCATACGAGCGATTCAGTTAATTTGTTAACTATTCAGGATAAATACTCCAAAAATTAATCATTAGCCGAAGAGCCTCTCATTTAACAATAACATTCGTCATTGGGTAGTTCAACGATATGCAAGCCACTTGCTAGACGTGGTCATACGAAATATTTGCCCAAATTTAATGGCAGACTTATGGTTGAGATTTTACTACTGTTTTGGGTAGTTGCCTGCTACTGCAGTTGATTATTAGTCTTTTTTGCACGACAAAAAAACGAGAGGAGAAACCATTAGGTACAAATGTGGGTCTCCAGTTTTTGCTTCTTAACATTCCATAGACCCCATAGACCCATTGACCCTACATTTTTCTACATATTTGAGACTAGAAGTGACTTCATGGCTTTTACTGTCATATTATGAAAAAGTATCCTGGTTTATTTTGGATATAAAGACAGGTAGTTATTCAAAACGCATAGTACTTAGAAATTTCGGAATTTAATGATGAAACGTCAAAAAATTTGTACATGAAGAGTTCTCCCTTAGACGAACAACTCACACAACTCCTGTTGGGGAATCAGAATACGCTTTTTGTTGGAGTAATAAGTATCATTAGATAGTGGCATTTATTTTTGTATCCCAATAACATAGACGGTGTATATCTGGCCACTTCAACCTCCGCTATCACTTTTGATTTGACAAATAATTTGAATCTCATGCTGTACCTTTTTACTTACTAAGTAGTCTAGGAGAAGTTGTTTAATAAAGTCCTCTATTCAATCTCTTATAATTTGCTTCAACCTGTGTCAGTTGGTAAGTCAACTGACAATCATTATGTCAGTTCATTAGTTGTCGTTTCATGGATTTTGTATGACATCCAAGCCACCTGACTTTCAACTAGTGGGGACTTAAGTAGAGACTAAGGAAAGGACCAACGTACGCAAATTTTACCTAAAGTCCTATCATAACTGTCATCTAACTTTGACTTGATTTTCGAAAATTACCAAAGCAAAAAGACTTGAAAATGTCATCCAATTTTCATTATTACATCTTGATTTAAAAAAAATATGGATAGGAGTATTTTAAGCAAAAGTATGGAATAAATGTAGCAAATACTTATGTACGATATTCTGGATTATTTATCTCAGTGCTTGATATGTTTAGCGAACTTCCGTAAATCGTAATATTGAAATGCGTACCTTCTGTAGTTTGCATTTTCAGTGAAATACTATACTTATTTTCATTTCAGATACGTTTATCTAGTCTGTCACTGGATGAACATGCTAAAAGAAAGCTTTTACGACTTGCGACAGGTCCTGGTCCAGGTCGTAATACAGCATCATATGACTGGAACACAGATATTCTAAAGTTAACCACAGGAAGATGTCCAACATCAAAGCAGAATACTGAGTTTTTAATGTACTTGTTGAGTGTTCTTACTCTGGAATCGAAGGTAGGTATTTTTAAAATTTTTTTAGTCAACATGATATGTTTAACATCTCAAGCGATAAAAGTCCTACTGAAAGTATAAACGCCAGCAGAAATGAAAAGTTAAGTGAATGTATTAATTTTGCCTGCTACTAAGTTTTACAAGATTCACGGAAGCTTTTATTACTTGTATGTATGTATAACACGTTTTGGTGTATACGCAAAAAGATTTTCTTCATACATACAGCTTAGGAGCTGTGTTTCGGTGGTTTAGGGAGATAACTACTAACCATTGGGTCATGAGTTCGAGCTGCGCTCCACCTACCGAAGTTTAGAGAACCAGGTAGTATCACTAGCCCTCACACAATAGGTATGTCTCATTGCACGGATGTTCACAAGGTAGCTGATTTCGTTTCGTTCGTTCGTCTGGTACATACAATTTGTGTATTATACATCCCAATTCCGGGGTTTAGATGATTCCATCTGTTGGCCTGTAGCCCAGTATACAGTAACTGGTATTTTTAAACTCATTTTCTTCACTTCTAATCAGTACTGAGGGTACGCAATACTAGTAAAAATGACTTATTGTTTGTTGATACTTGTAAACCTCCGTTTCTATACTGGATCGAGTTGATCGACCTCTGTTTGAAGCGATGGGGACGTGGTTTGAATCTCAGTGGGAATGATATCACTCACTGTAGTGCGTGAAAATCCAACTGACGAGTCCAAAATAGGACAAAACGGGTGTTTTGGATCCCACTTTTGGTCATAACCGAGTCAATTATAAAAACTGACTTAAGTCAGAAAGAGTCTTCAACTGTTATCATAACCACAAGTACCTATGTCATCCATTTTATCATTATTATCATCGCTGCATAATGTTTAGTTTTCCTCATGGGATATATTTTAAAAAAACGTCATATATACCTGAATATACAGCTTGAAAAGAGTCTCTTCGCTGAATATCTTGTTCTTGATGTTACAATGGGAATTATTTAATTATGGAAAGGCAAGTGACCCACTTATCCGTAGCTTCAAGTAATTTTTTGAAGAGAATACTTTTCTGAAATAGCCTACGCTAAAAACAAACTATTGATTATTAGTGAATCATTCCAGGAAGTCAATTTGTTATTATAAAAATATGTAGTCGTTAGGGTTCATTGGTTTAAGCACATGGCTTTCAACCAAGGGTCGTGCACTTGAACACTGCTTCACCTACCGAGGTTGTAGGCAGTCAGGTAATACCATTAAGCCTCATACATTAGATGTAGCTCATTGCCTATTGCATGATTATGCACCAGGTTGTTGAGTGCATTTCGACTTCGACGAAAAACAAAGTAATAAGTGTTAATAAAAGCTTACAGTAAACACCAGTTGTGCTTTTCCCCGCTTGGTTAAAGTTGGAAAGTATTAACCGGACATATGCTAAACACATTGTCTCAACGATGCATCCGCTGTGAGTACTGAAGTTCCGTAGTTTAACTTTTTGAAAACTGGACTGTGTGCACTTTTGAGGAGTTTTAAGCCATAACAAAACGCTTTTCCTATGACGCAGTGGATTTTTGTGGATTATTTTTTTCTTGTGTATTGGTCACACCTACTGTTTTTAAGTATGTGCTTTTGTTTTAGATTTTACCTTTCTTCAATTTATAATTTACTTTTGTCTTGGCAAATACATGTCTTTCTTCATGGGTATGGTATACAGAAATCATGTAAACCTAAAGGTTACTCTATCGATGATCGGAAAAGTTGAAATGCATTCAAGAATTATATGCAAGCTTTTTCAGTAGGTAATGAACCACACCTATCGTATGATGGGTAATGATAGTACTTCGTTGCCGAGACCTTGGTAGGTGGAGCGTGATGTGAACTCGTGACCCATCGATTGAAAAATAAGTACTCAGACCAATGACCGATGGCACTACAAAATAGTGTCGAGCTCCTGTCACACAAGTATTCACTCTCGTATATTATTTTACAAATAGATCAGTTCATGCTTACGGTTTCTTTTTCTATCACTCACAAATTGCTTCTGTTCAAACAATCCCACTTTTCTTTTTAAAATTTATCAAACCAATTTAGAAAACAGAAAAGTGGGAAGTAGATAATCCTGAATATGACTGGTTACAGTTTGATTGGAATAGAAGTGAGTCACGTCGACGTCTTTTCAACTTACTATCTGTCTCTGACAATGAACAAGGTTATGGCAACCGGAAAACAACAGAAGAGAAACCAGTCTCTGAAGTAGGTGTGAATTTGTTTAAAAACGGTTTGTCTGATTTCAAAGTGACTATTATGGTTCGAATAACTTGTATTCTTTGGTCGAATTAGTAAGGTGACAGCTGAAAAGGTGCCATCAAGGAAGCTTTCATGTATAAATAAATCCAATCAATTTATTGCAAACTGGTAGATTCCTATTGGTGTGACTTAGTATTGAATGAAGTGGTCTGATTGAAAGTTGGAAAGCTGATTTATCTATTATTGGAGATATGGCGTTTTGTTGTCCAATTGTCGATTGCTTACTCGTTTGATCAGTAGAATAATCCTTCACTCCCTATCTTTAAACTAGGATTACTTACAGGAGAGCAGTCATGGAACATCATCTTGCAGTTGATAGGTGTGAGACGCATACCAAACACTCAGATTTTACCTCAATGCATTCAGAAGATCCTACATTTTGTCAGTGTCCTCACCCACCAGGGCTATATCGTTTGCGTACTCCAAGTCAACCAGATGGCTTCCAAAGAGCAGATCAATCCATATGAAGTCAGATGTGCCATCAGTGCATCCATAATGAAGCTAACTAGAAACGATGACAGTGGACATCCTTGGCGGATACCAATAGTTGAGGTCAATTTGGAGGACAACTCTACAAGCCCTTATGTAGTTGCGTGATTTCGAGTAGAGAGATTTGATTAGTGTTACATATCTTTTCGGTACTCCTTTTTTACTAAGACACTGCAACAACGCCCCATAGTTAACAGAGTTGAATGCCACCTTCAGGTCAAAAAATATGACGTTTCGCGTGCCGATATGTATTCCTATCTTCTACAACCTGTCGGAGAGTGTGCACATGATCGATGCACCCTCGCACGAGTCTGAAACCTGTCTGGTTCTCCCGAGTTTATTGCTCTTGAACTCCATTTAAGCGTTGAAAAACTGTAGACCCAAGGATGTCGGACACAATATTAGTCAAACTGATTTCCCTATGGTTGTCACTGGAAGACTTCTCTGCCTACTTATAGACTGGGATGACCAGTGAAGTACACCCGCTTGACGGGACTACAATCCTTAGTACCTTCGTCCGTCTAATCAATAATTTCCTACCGCCGTTTTCAAACAGTTAAGGTGGCAAACGTCATGTTCTGCAACTTTGCTTTGTTTCAAGTGCGAAATAGCTTTCCGAACTCCAAAAAGAGTTGGGGGATCAGCATCTACGTCTCATTTAGGTTCAGGTTGGATGTTGGGCAACTGGAGCTTTACTGGGTATCGGTTGGACCGTGCTTCAAAGTGTTCCATCCAACGTTCTAGCCATCCATCCTGAGAGGTTATCAGCGTATATATTTGTCGGTGATGGTTCGCTTCACCATCGGTTCTTCTTGCTGGTGTCCTTAAAAACCCTAAGTAGCTGCCAGGTTTTATCCCACCCTGATGTCTTATCTGTCTTTCGACACTCATCATTGCTCATGATCGTTACGAACACTTGGTCAACTTACGTTCAAGTTACTTTCGTGCTTCACCGTGGTCAGAGCCAGCTGCAATCAGTCTCCTTGCATCAGTCAGTTGGGATAAGGTGGTCCAAATCCAGTGACGTTTGCTAATCTTCGGGTGTCTTTATCGCTGTTCCTACTGCCTACCAGTGCCTACCAGGTTTTCTCAGGATGAATATTGCTGTCAAGTTCAGATAAATGCTTAGCCATCTCCTCCCTAAATGTGTATTTGACGTTTTCATATTCCAATCGGGTATAGATATGCTTTACTATCGCCTGTTTTCTGCAACAAGTAAGGCAAAGAAATACACGAGCCCTTATTATGTGTGCCTCGCTTCCAAACTGGTACTCCAGAAAGAGCAGCAGTCCTCCATCGACCCTCTTTTAAGATGGCTTATAGCGATATGATCTATATCTGTTCACCGTTGGTTTGATGTCAGTAAATGCCATTTGAAACAATGTCCTTATATTTAAAGTTAACGCTTGCCCGGAAACAAGTGAGTCAGACGAAGATCGCAACAGACGATCACCATTGTCAGTTCATTTGGCATATAATTGCGCAATTACCCCAAAATCTCTTTCTGATTGGCTCAGCTTCCCCACTTGAGCGTTAAAGTCACCTGTTATTATGCATATATCTGAGCTCTTTTCTTTCTGTAAGAAAATTGACAGCCTTTCATAGAATTCATCCTTTACATCATCCAAACTGCTGTTGGCGGATGCGTAAACAGAGATTACGAATAGGTATTTGTTGGTCTTAAGATCCTTTCTAGTCCTGACAGGTCCATTAAGTCGAACGGCACATAGACGTCTGTTGACTGGCATCCAGTCGAGAAGTGCACCTTCTCTGTTTTTCAGCTCAGTCCTATCCCCTACACCATCAAGTCCACAATGGATAGCTACTGGGTTTCCGGATACTTGTTTTGCGAGTTTTAAAGATTCACTACGATGCTTAGTTGAGGTGAATTTGATGACCACACTTGGGTCCAGTATACGTGTCAGGGACAGCATACATTCATGACTCCAGATTGCACAGTTCTTGCGATCGATACTTACTATCCGATGTTGAAAGCTCTAAGATCAAGTCGATGGTGTGATCTTAGGAGACCATGATAGAGGTTTCGATAGCTTTGATCGTTGTCAGTGATCGCAAAATTAGAGGTTGACGGTGTAAGAGACTTAGTATTCATATTAGAAGGTGAAGCCAAAGGAGGACACAAAGTTGAGGAGGACAGGTTATGCACTACTCGAAGCTTTCAGACGGTTGACACTTCCCGGTTGCCCACACCGCTGAAGCACATCTCTTCTTGAGGTACTTGAAAAAGAAAGGTGTGTGTGTCTGCAGAGCTCATGGGATATCTACTTGACGCCGGTCACTCATGTTTGAGATTTTGGTTTATTGCTTTTGAATCCAACTGAGAATCCTCTCGGTATGCCGCGAGAGGATATGATGTGCAATTTTTGGGGCCGACCTTTTCTAATTCATCCTACCCACCAGGAAGGCAGGATCAGCGTGGCACTGATAGTCATCTAAGAGAAACACCTTTGTGCTGTCACACCCCATCCAACTAGCGGCAGTACGACTTCTCCCTCAGACCTCAATCATAATGTAGTAATTCACACTACAACGGCAACTGCTTTTCGTCTTACCACTATTCGACAAACCTTTCTCATATGTTAGGACCTCGAGGGAGCAAGCGTTTCAGCCAGAATGGCTCAGTGGGTCATTGTGATATAGAAGCCCGACCACCACAGTGAGTTAGCAGCTGTCGGTTGGGATATAGCAGTGACCCATATAGTCAACTGATTCGTGATTACCTCACAATTTTTAGCCAGCCTGACATCATTGAATTGGTGTACTTGGAGAGTGCTGTCAATATGTATTCAGAAGGAATGTAGTTTGTATTATGGCATGCAGTTACTAAGTTGTTTTTATTGTATATTCATCAATTACTATTTGTATCGTCAGCACTGTAAACTCCCATTTCGTTTTATACTTTTTGTAGCTTGAATCTCATCCCTCAGTTGTGCAATATCGCGAAGCACTTCAAACTATATGGGCTAAAAATGATATACTTAATGGAGATCAATGGATTAAGCGAAGTGATCCCCCTAAATGCCGGCATGGTCGTCTTCGTCCTATCCGAAATGTGCCTTTTACAACAGTCCCAGGTGCAGATGATCAAGAGAGTTTGAAGAAGTATGCATCAGCTACACGAAATCTATTTGGTCTTAATGATGGTGTAGAACGCTCGAATCTATCAACAAATGCTCAATAATTGCTTTTTCTGATTATTGTTCGTATGCTTTACTATTAAACATTTTGAACTCTGGATAGCCGAAATTTTAAGCCTGTCGTGAATTTTTTATAGAAAAGCATAATTAATGCTTCTTAGCATATTTTATGACTGTGAAATTAAGTCACTACATGGAATGAATAACTCGACTCGTTCATCAACCGGATTCACTCACTTTTGAATGAATTCTCCTTCACGCCAAGAAAACTGGGACTGTTACAGTGGATTCTTATAGTATTATCAAAACCACCAACCACTCCAATACACAGTGCATCAACAAACTGTAACTAGCCAGTCAATCAGCTTGACGTTTTACTCATTTCTGTGAGATATCGGATAGGTAATGTATAAACTATTGAGTAAAAGAAATATTCTAACTCATTGTTACAGGTTTTCACTTCTTATAAGATGTAATAATTTATTGCAGCTCTAATGATGGCATGTTTTCAGTTCAGAAAAGCAATAACTAACTTAAATGGTAGATTGTTATTGTCTTTGCAACAGAGGGTGTATTGAAGATGCAGGATGTCTTTGCTTATGATTTAACCCATAAGAAAGTATATTCAAATTGAAAGTATCATCCGACCAGATATAATTTAAGGCGGATGACCACGGTGAAAAGTCATGTTCTGAATGCAAGGAAAGCTCCTATCAGCGGAAACTGTTAAACAGGGCAGTTTTAGCGTGGATTTACAGTTTGTAGTAGAAATATTAAAGGAGAATGGAAACCAACTTCAGTGGATAATCTGATTGAGATGATTGTAAACAATTTCATTTTGTAGGTCATCAGTATCCCTTATGCTATCTTGAAGAATAATCGATTATCCTTCTATGGAGATGATATCTCTTTCACAGCATCTACAAAGTTCCATGAATGACTCGATTTTTGGCGTATGCAACTCAACGACTATAAGACATGTTATAATTCATTCGTTTTTATGAATGGTGGAAAGCAGAGACAATAGGCTAGATAGTGCGTATCGAGGTAATTAGCACTGATCAGGCACTTTTACCACGAATCCTTTGTTTTAACCAGAGTTCTGTGTGTCATAGACCTACACTTGAACTTCTGGTATTCTTCCTTCATTGGTTTTTACTTCCTTTTGCTTAGGATATTCTTAACAATAAGTGCAACAACATCGGGCGCCACCGAAATTCTTGTCATGCAACTGAAGTTTAATGATGGAACTTCTCTGGGTTTCAGCAGGTGCCACTCAGTGGGTGTTCAGCTGTCCAACCATAACCGACGGACATTGTTTCGTTTTGGATAAGTGTTCCTAAGAAATGGATTCATTTTTGCTGAAAACTACATGGTTTATTTGGCTGCGTTGCCATATTTTCTCCACAAACCTACCAGTTCATTGTCAATGAAGTACTGTAGAAGGAAGAAAACAGAAGTGAAGCACATTCAGTTTGTCTATTTCGAAAAAAAAGATGGTTGCAACATTAGACGTTAGTTGAGAAATATTGTAACTAATTTCTCAAAGTTGTTCACCATTACGAAATTTTCCAGTTGCTATGGTTCAACTTCATGAAAAATGTGTGTATTGAATTCCATCCTGTCAAAAATCATATGAGTTACAGTTCACTTAAGATTTATTGGTCTCTGATGACTTGGTTCCCCAGCAAAACAGTTTTCTTTAAGTCGCACCACATACTAATTAAAGATCATTAAGAAACTGTTTGGTTTAAACTCGGGACTAGTCAATAGTGACTGGTCGCAGCTTTGGAAATATCATCTCCATGCTTCCCAATGAACTTAAATTGTTCATGTAGATGCTGCTATTACCCATCTTTCTCCACCTTTGATTTTATTACAGAGCAATTATTTTGGCGAATACTAAATTTAGTTAGAAGTCGCTTCTGAAAACCACTTAGTGTTTTGTCCACTGTTGTCGTTTTGCTATAGAAATCGTTTTTGCAAGTGTAACTGATTCGTCAAGTAGTCATTGAATGCTAAACTAGAAACAAGTCCTATGCAAAGTGTGTATTAGTCCAAGATGCTAACGTGTGTAGACTTTTTCAAATCCATCAAAAAAGACAACGTTGAGTTAATTAGTCACAGTACATTTGTCGATTTATCTCAGCTTTAGTTGTTTGCATCCTTTCATCACTTATCATTGTCAATTTGTTTCGTCATGTCTGGTATGTCTACAGCATGCTCACTGTCTGTAAATTCGAAACGACAACTGAGTATCTATCTCAATTTGTTGATTGATGGTGAAACATAATCCTAGAGGAAAACAACAGTTTGACTTTAGGGCAATTTCATCGTGAAATTTGAACATGAGAACCGCATTATTTTTTGGATACGAGAAGGAAGTGGTAGAACATCCCACTGGAGTATTCAGATGCTGTCATCCAATAAACTACATAAATGGCCTAGTTAGAATGAATATGAAAGGATCGCGATCTCTGCGTTGTGCTCTGGTTCACTTAATTAATGTTAGACAATATTGATAACTTGATTACTTTTGGAATGATCAATAAATAGAATACTTCAAGGCAGTATTCATCATGGACTGACATCAGTTCCAGAACTACTGAGAATGTGGAAGCACCAGGAAAATCTTTCATCCTAGTCTGGGACTCCTCATCAGTGCTTATCTACGGCTTCACTAAGGATCGAGCTCGGCACCATCGGGCTTTGTGATGAGCACATTACCACTCAACCACTGTGTCTTACTATCGATTCGCTATATAGCACCAAATAGTTACATTTTCTTATATATTAGCTGTCGAGGGAATTCAACGCGATGTCAGCATTCAGAAACAATCAATCATTAACTTATTTATTCCAGTTCGATCCAACTGTATCGAATAATTGATTCAATCATCTATATTTCTGAAGCATACAACTAATTACTGCCTTTTCTTGTTCTCTACTTTTCATAACGAATGCAATGTCAGCTCTGAACCTATAGGTAAGAAGTTACTGTCTGTCTGCTGACTTTCATGCTACCGCTGACTGTATATTTTCCGTCTTAGTTGACTTATTAGATGTATCACACAGTGTAACGGTACTGTTTACTGGATTACGTTACCCAAAGTCATATCAAGATAACTACATAGCTTCGAGGCATCCCTTATATAGTCCTAATTACCTTGCCCCTTTTTGATATTCGTAGTAAGATTTTGCATATATCCGAAACAGGTGCTGAGTCATTCCTGTTGCATGTATTACGTGTTGATTCGACAAATAAAGAATCAGTTATCAATCTCTCCTACCACCCTGCTACGTTAGGCTTTAAGGGTTTTTACCCTGTCCAATCCTATTGTATGGTTGTGTGTAACTGCATGCATACCTATGGCTGAGTTTTTTTTCACAACCCCTTATTTCACTAGGATCTACCAATTTTGACTTAGCTAGGTTTTGGTGCTTGGATAGCCTAATTGACCTTGGTTGACTACCTTGATCTATGTATTTGGCCACAATCTTTGCCTAATTGGATCAATAAACCTAAAAAGCTTATTTGTAAGTGAGTTTGTGGGTTTTAATACGACTCTAATTCTAGCCTTTTTGAGGATTCTTCCGAACGCTTCTAAGGTGGCTCCTTTGTGTTGTAGTACTGTAAAGGTTTCGAATTCTGTCTTCGCAGTATTATCAACATTATTACTACTATTAACATGTGTATAATTAATATTAGTCGTATTTCCCTTAAGACTCCTAAGGAGCTTGTTAATTAATTTACGAGGGTAACTGTTGATGAGTAAGGTCCCCTAATGCATCTGCTTTCTTGTCTTAGATCTTTTGTTTTACTTGTAAGTTTATGTGTATTAATGACTATTTTTATTTGGTTGTCTTAGTACAATTATATGTATGTATGTATGTATATGTAGGTGATTGTTTCATTTGATGAATATTTTGGTGTCCGGGTTTAGTTAGAAGTATGTATAACGGTTGACCGGTAGTAGTAGTTCAGCCTTGAGGTGGACTGTGATCTGTGGTCATTCGTTGAAGTATCATGTTTAGTTACCTACTTTGACGTGCAACTGGTCTATACATAGCGAGTTATTATTTAAGATTACTCAGTATAATTGCTCAATACACTTCTGATATGCAAAATTTTACTTTCAAATAGACAGAAGTACACACTTAATTCTACTGCTATTCGTAAGGTCAATTTCTTTGTATGGAGATAATCTTTTTTGTAACTCTGGCTATATCAATGTTTTCTTCTACATAAAAAATAAGTGATTTCAATGCTTTCAACTTACCGATATCTATTTCTATATTTTCACCCTACAAATTTTATAGTGATCAACTTGTATTTTACTAGTTTTTTCCAAACTACTCATGAGTAACATCTCTATGATTACTCAATTTTATCTACTAAGGAAAAGACAAAAGGTAGTCGGTGAATTTCATGTATGTACAATTCACTTTTTTCTAATCATAGAGGAATTAAAGTGATAGAATAAATCGACTATGTGGCAGATATGACTTGCTAAATAAGTAGTACAGTGTAAGGACTAGGTGATAGTATAAGAAAATGTAGTAGAAAAATATTTGATGTGCCTGTGTTTGTGTGAAACAATTTTTATATCTTATGATTTGGAAGACTAATTAGTGTTAAAAAAAGAGGAAGAAATCGTGTGCGCTTTGCAACTGATAAGATTCAAATGACTGAGAAGAGAGGAATAGTTAATTCCTTACAAGTATGATAACACTAATTCATTCTCTGGATACATGACGTTTTTGTTTTGTGCGATTGTTTGCTGTATCATAGTGATACTGATTACTTCTTGATTGGTAGACACCTTTATCTGACTGCACTGAATTCTTTATTACTGGCTGTCGTTGTGAGGCTTCATTTGAATCGCTTGGCTTGTTTACCGCTCTAGGCTGAGAAGTCTCTCGTGTTAAGTATCTATTTGAATGTAATGATCGTTTAGTATATTTCTCTGTAGATTGACTAATATTAGAAATCGATCTTGCATGATATGATACTGGCCTTTGACGTGTATGCGTATATGCATTATGATATGACCCTGACTCAGGTTTATGATTTTGCTGATGACCTTCAGATAAATTATGTCGTTTTACTTCAGTAGATTGTCGGATAATTTTGTTTGTTTGCTTTGAATTGTTAGATGTGGATAGTTCAGATAATGGTCTTTGATTTCTTCGATCGTGCTCTATTGCTTTCTGTAAATTTGTTTTATATCTTTTATTCACTTTGGATTGAAGAGGTGTAGCTGATTGGGCTATTTGTTCACCGAATACAGGATCACATATACCACCATTGTGTGCTCGTTTAGGCAATGTTGCTGCATAACTAACACTATTCATAGAAGGGTAATAATTCAGTTTACCTGATGGTGCTCTACACGTATTCATCAGTGTCGACTGAGATCCATTTCTCAGCACTGAATTACTACCATAATGATAAACTGAAGACCTACCGCCTGTTGGACCTATTGGTGATTTTGGATACTCATAGAGTTGTTGTTGATGAGGTTGTACCGTTTGTCCTTGTTGTTGCTGCTGCTGCATATCAGTGTCTTTATGAGCAAAACATAGTCCACATAGAGTAGTTTTACGTCGAGATTTTGAGTAGACATAGAGATAAGTTTGTAAGAGAATGAAACCTAAGAACTGTACTAAGATAACAACTAGTAAACACGGTAAATAATACCATGATTCAGGGTATTCATAATAATCATACCACAGACCAATCATAATAGAATTTTCTAAATAGTAGAAAAAGTAATAAATTAAATATCTTGTTCGCGTGTACTTCACTCCAGCATTTATAAATTCATATAGGCTAACATAGGAATGAATTAAATCGGGGAAAAAGTTCCCGCATACATCACCACGTGCCTGAAAATTCGAAAAAAAGTGAAACAATGAATTATGAGGTTATTACCGTTGTCGACATATTTGCTTACATAATACTAGCTAATTAAAATTGACAGAAATCTCAATCATTCATGGCTTTCTTCAAATTGCAAAAGACTTCCATTTCGACGGGAAAAAAACGGGCAGTTACAGCGAGGATAATCCTATTTTGTAGACTTATTATTTATGGGATAGAAAGTTTCACAGGAATTTACGGTCAAAGTCAATAGAACAGCGAAGATAAGTCTAGGCATTCAGTGTGGGAACGGATAAAATGCAGGGAATTTTCAAACAGCTGACTAATGAAAAAAAGAAAAGCGGAGACTGGAGTATATAATTCTTTTTAACGCATACCTAAGGCTTGGATTTGTAGATTTCTACTATTTCGCCTGTACATCAATTTCTCATCCTCATGCCTTTGTAATCATTCGGTTCAATTCTGCAAAGGAGCTAAATGTTCCGAATTCAATAAATCCTCGATGACAAAACTTGAGATAATCTTTCCACCTTTCGCTAGACGAGTTGAGTAGTGTTCGCCAGCATGTTTAGCACGTAAATCGATGATAGAGCTAATATTCTTGGCTCCATAACTGCAAGTGAAACTATAGATAGGCATTCGTAGGGCCCAGTGCATCTTATTTTGTCTTACATGTTGACAAATCAGCTACTGGCATGGGAAAATTGCCTTACGACTTGCTTTGCTCATTGTCTCTAACAACTCTTTATTATTATTGTGATTATTATTATTTGTCCCATGGGTTCCTAGTTTAACATAGGACTCCAAGAGCACGTCTCCATTTCACTCCCTTCTCTCCAGTCATTTGAACCTGACTCCACGACTGTCCAGAAGCTTTCATTTCTTCACATGATCTCCTCCATGTCACCCTCGACTCGGACGCCCAACTCGTCGTTTCCCCTTTGGATTCCACTCGATGGCCTGACCTGGCGCGTGATGTCTCTGAATGCCTTTCTCAGTGTATGCTCAATCCAATCCACCTCCACTTTCTTCTGCATATTTGTTGGGTGATAGGTTCTTGTTTGGTTTGTTCCCACAGTCCCTTGTTGCTTATTCTTATTACTCTGGCCATCTGATCTTCAGCAACCAGCGTGGGCAGCTGTTCATGAATGTCTGTAGTTTGTTAGAAACGCTTTTCATGACGCTCCAAGTTTCTGAACCATATAGAAGCACTGACTGGAAATTGGTGTTCTTTATGCTGAGTGCAGTAGATCTCCACACTGATTTCAGATTAATGAAAGCCTGTCTTGCTTTTCCGATCCTGGCTTTGACATCCTCATCTGTGCCGCCGACTGTAGTTGAAACGATGCTGCCTACGCAAGTGAACGAGACAACTTCCTTTAGATTTCTCCCGTTGATGGTGCTTGTTGTTGTTGGTTGGGTATCTTCATCACCTCTGCATTGTCTACATTCACTTGAAGTCCGGTTTTCGCTGCCTCGTCTGTCAACGTGTTGGTTTTTGCCTGTAGATCTTCGAGTTTGTGCGACATTAGACATAAATCATCATCGGCGAAATCCAAGTCTTCTTCGGTCCAGCCAGCGTATGCTCATCTTCTCGCTCCTCACGGTTTGTTTGATGATCCAGTTCAGTCGACCACAATCAGAAAGATCACCGGTGATAGTAGGTGGCAGCCTTGTCTTACTCCTTCTTGTCTTCACTTCAAAAGCATCACTAAGCTTTCCATTGGGATCACTTGGCATGTGGCGTCTTCATATAGCTCCTGAATGAGATTGATAAAGCTTTGTGGCATTAATACTGTAGCGTTGAAGCAACTGCCTGCCAAATAACTTGTCGGCGGATGCTGTCGAAGGCTTTTTCAAATTCGACGAAGTTGAGGTAGAGTTGGGTTGACTGCCATTCTATGCTCCGTTCTATGACGATGCGTGGCGTAACCTTGCAGTTTGATCTGCACATGATTTGTTCTTCCTGATATCACCCTGCCAGCCTGTTCAGGTCGTAATTTTGAATCCAATGGATTGTTTAGTCTCTCCGATATGATGCGGCTTAATATTTTGCTTGGGATGGGACATGATTCCACGCTAGTACTTGTGGAAACTTAGGTCTCCTTTCTTTGGGAGTTTGACCAGGTAACCCTTGTTCCAATGGGCAGGTTCCTTTCCTTCCTTCCAACCCTTCTGCATTAGTGGTGTCAGCATGTCCGCTGCTGTTGTCTCTGCGTCTGTTCTCAGTGCTTCTGGTGGAATTCCATCTGGTCCTACCGCTTTCCTGGATCTCAGCAACTTTATGGCGTTCAGGACTTCTCCTTTTGTCGGAAGGCCCTCTGTTCACTGGTAATTCTGCCGTTACTGGTTGTATTTCTGGACGAGTTGCAGGTGGTGTTGGTGGTCGATTCCAGAATTTTTTAATGTGGTCGGCCCATCGTTTCCTTTGTTTCTTCTCTTTGGTAACTAGGTTTCCTTCACTATCTTTCACTGGTTTCGTCTGAGTTGATCTTTTTCCTCCCAGATAGTAACCTGGTTATTTGATATAATGTTGTCAGGTCTCTTCTACCCGCAGCCTATTCTGCTTCGCCTGGAAGTGTGTCGTAGAAGTGTCTTTTGTCTTTCCGTGCACTCTTCTTCACTTTTTTGTCCAGTGTAGTGTTTTATAGGTTGTGTTCAGTTCTTCTTTTGGTTGTTCATCCTTGCACTGGTTTATCTTCTGTTTCACCATCTTCCTCTCCTCTATCATTTTCCATGTGTCCGTCGTGAACCATCATATGTCCTGTTTTTTCTCCCTCCCTAATACGGCTATAAAGGTTTATTTCCATATCTCCTTCAAAGAGTTTCATTGCTCTTCCACGCAAGTTCCTTCAGGGATGTTGCCTAATATCTCCCATTCTATCATGATGTCCTTTGTGGTTTCGTCCTTCAGTGCACTTTCTGTTCTGGGTGTTCAACTTGAATAGTGGTCTATCGCCAACTTGTATGAAGGATTTCAACTTGATTTTGAAGGTAGGTTCCTTGCACTAGATGGCGAGTGGTGTGAACCTACATTTGCTCCTCTTCGTGATCTCTGTTCAGTAGGCTGCGTCTCCACTTTCTTTACATTGAGATGAAGGTGATCTGATTTGTAGTGTAGTGTGTCCTGGTGTCTGGTGAAATTTATGTCTTTTTGTGGATATCCTTGTGTTTTTACACAGTACCTTCAATCACCAAATCGTTGAGGGGGCAGAAGTCTGCAAACAGTTCTCCATTCTCGTTCAACATTTCGCCTAGTGCCTCTTGACCCGTGATGAATTCTCTTCCTGCGTTGTCTGCTCCCAGTTTGGCATTCATGTAGCCCATTCGATTTTTGAAGCCGCTAATAGTAGTCTTGTCCAGTAGTGATTGCAGTTGTCTACAGAATTCTTCCTTCCTCTCTTGATCTTCATTATTTGTGGGTATGTAGCGTAGCATTGTATGATTGTGACTTTCCTTCCTTTTGATTTGAATCTTGCTGTCATGATCCTCGAGGAGGAGATTGGTTTCCACTGCATGAGAGAGAGCCTTTGATGCTCTTGAGAGGGGGACATCATGATAGCCACTAGAAAACTGGGTGTGCTGGTAGTTGTCGTTTGAGTAACAATATCGAAGTGGATTATTGACACTCCAGTTGACAGTCTGGAGAGTCCACTTCCATTCTATCTGGTTTCGCAGATTCCTATCACTTGTATGCCATACCTTCCCATCTCTTTTGCAATGTGGGCAGACTTGCTAAGTTCATACATAGAGCGGACATTCCATGCCCCACGTTTACTTTCGCTTTCATCGAGAGAAGACACATCGGCCAATTGGCTTTCTTTCACCCACCGGCATCATTTCGCCTCTCCGATTCCAGCGAGGAATAAGTTTATTTTTATATTTTCTTTGTGCTTTGAAGTTTCTTTATCGATTGGATTGGTTTTACGGGGTAGGGTTGTTAGCCGTATGCCCAACCTTCCTCTTTATCCGGTTTTAGGACCGGCTAGTGAACTAGTTAACCAGGCAGAATGTTAACGATTCTCTGCGGAGCTAGATGGAGGCGTTCCGTAATCTTTTCTTTAATATTTTGACCTACTGATCTGAGTGGATAACGATATTTTTAATATCATTTTACAAAGTGAAACTTATTATTAGACGGTTTTTATTATTTTGGTTCCCGGTTTTTTATCTGCTATCCTTCTGAAGACTGGGATTTTACCCATGTTACGTAATGAAAAATTCAAGTTCTGGACATTTTCACACTGTTGTATTGACTTTGATTGTTGGTTCCTCTTGAAGTTTCTGTCCTATAAATTAGATATTTACGAATGTACACATGTGAAAATGAGTTGTTCAATAGGTAATTATTTCGTCAGATCGATGATGTTGCTATGGGAAGCTTTTTAAGACAGCTTTTTGCCATCTTCTTGTTGTTCATTTGAAAAGCTGTAAATAACTTTACTGAAGGCCTGTTACGCATGGTTTTCTGATCCGATATTGTTCACATAATTCCTATCGATTTTTTGGAAAATTTCCTAGAGTACTTAAAGTTCAAAATCTTTCGAGTTAAGTTTAGATATACACTTCCCAGAGTAGAGTTTTCAGTTCTAGAGTAATAACACGAAGTCGATGGAAGTATGGGTTTCTATGAAAAAGACATCTTAGTACAGTCACACCACTAGTACGGTTAGCGATAAAACTTATTTTTCGATTGTCAGCATTGTTTATGTTTTGCTTACTGAAAAACAAACTGTCCTTTAGGAATGTTAAGAATTCCCATTGTCAAAATAAGAAGACATATACGCGAACAATATTATTTTCAGTTAGCTCTTATCAGGCTTAACGCTAGTATATATATATATATATATATATATATATATATATATATATATATATATATATATATATATATATATATATATATAAAATATGAATATGGACAATAAATTATGTCCGAAACGTTATCCAGTAAATGCTACTGTTTCACTGTGTGATATTTCCAATAAACAGACTAAAATGGAATTACACTCGACCACAGTGCCCAAGTTTTACACTTATATTAACGGGTCTAGATCTTTAAGATGTGGATTCCCTCGAAATTTCGGGTACAGTTTGTTGATGGACACAAGTAGGCATGCAACAGTGATCGAAATGGGTTTATTACCAATTGACAACTAACACATATCTATTTAGATTCAGATTTTAAGGTAGTTTCCACATCATGGATTCACATTGATAGAGAAATCATTAAAATCTTGAAATATTTCGTCCTGGCTTGAGACTTCTCAGCAGTGCACACCCACAACTGGAAGATCTCATAGCAAGTGCGTTACCACTTGACTGCTGGGTTGTACGTAATCCAATGGTCCACTTTTCCTATTTTTGTTGATTCCCGATATAGGATAACACTCGTCTAATGTCACTTGGCATCCGCCTTACTCTCAACTTAGTTGACCCTACAGTTTGCAACCATTCATTAGAACTTCTGGAATTCCATCCTGAGAAGTCCTAAAGTGGGAGAAAACAGCTGTGCAGTGCTACTAAGATTTCCATCGTTCTTCAACTGATATAGATCTGTAATGAAAACTACTTTGATATTACATATAGTTCTAATTAGATTGTCTGTAAGGAAGCAAAGCAATCAGTGAACTTACTTTCTCTCCTTCTTTCTCTGTAGCATTGAATCGTCTAGTATATATCCTTGCAACCATTGTTGTTATTAAAACAATCATAAAATGTCCTCCTAATATAATTAATATCATTGGATAAAATCTCCCAGTAAATAAAGCGATAGAAAAACAGCGTAATGTAATATGTATTAAATGTGTAAAAAATAATAGTATTAATCCAATAACGTGAACTTGTCCAACACCACGTTCAAATGCCAATTCACTTTGTTGATATTGAGCTGGATAGAAATGTGTAAAACTTGTACTCAACCATATCATACTAAATCCAGCACAGATAAGAACAATAATTTCTATAAAATGAAAACAGATGATAATAGACAGAGAATAATTAAGAATGTGAGGTTTTTGCAAAACGATTATGTAATAACGTCTTAGTTGTGGCTAGTAGAAGAATCCAGGACGCGCCCTTTGTCCTATTTCAGACTCGTCAGCTGGATTTATCTGCACCCGAGTGAGTGATGTTGTTCCCACTGAGACTGGATTCTTCCTCTAGTTACAATGAAGTAAATTACCATGCTTAACAATCAGGCAATGTCGAAGGATCCGCATAGGAACCTGTATGCCAATGGAGGTCGAACAGTTGAATCCAGTAAAACAGTGTCATGTTGTCGTATCAATGAAAGACAAAGAGCTACACTTGTTATTCATCATACATCATCATACAACTTGAGGCTGAGCAGCTGGTATAGTGCTGATTGGAGGATTAACCTTTTTGTATTTAATGAAAATGAAATGAATTAGGACATACCGTAAACTGTCCCGGAATAAGTAAATTTTAGTAACAAATACTTCAAAAAAAGCACTCTAAAGAACCTGTGTACATGACTGTTGAACTTGAACTGAGCTTGCATATTTAGCTTTTCACAAGTATCAGTTAAAATTTTCCTGAACAATTATGTTTGCAAAAAACATGAAATGCTACAGAAAGTGGCTGACGAAATCAACGTAGAATCTCGCACACAGGTGGATCAACTCAAGTTGCCATACTTCACAGTAGTACACAAAGAACAAATGTATAGGAATGGAATGATATCAAAGTAAATAAAGTTGTATGAGAGGTGTCAAGGAGTGAATATATATGTGCCATTGTGACAGATTGACACAGGAAGCGACATAGTACAAAATCCGAAAGGTTCTCTCTTATGTCTCTGCTTCAATTAGCCCAGAAGGTCATAGTTCCAGTCTGATAGTTTTCTACTGACGAAATTACCATTAGTCTACTATAACTTTCTTGTTTCCTCATCGTATCCTGAGAAACCTGTTTTTGTAGATGCAAAAATGTCAGATGCTAATAACAGAAATGATCGCTGTTGAGATTGTGCAATTTGAATCCTGCTATTACTACTCAAGAAGAATGGAATTTCAGTTCATTCTGTTATTCACTACCTACGGTTACCGCTTGAAGATAAATTTATTCTGAGATAAGCTGACATTACAACTGTGTGATCAGTCGACACAACTTGCTATATGTTATGCTATTTCCATGAAACTGAATGGCCATTGGTTTGACTGATGTGGAAAGGTGAAGTCTTCCTTCCTCTCAGGGGTTTCCAGCTTCAACAAAGATGTTATGTATTGGTTGGCCACTGGAAAGTAGCCAATCGTATTGTTTCCAGCCCTAAATACTGATCGAATTCTGTCGATCATTTTGCTGTGTGGCCAGTAAACTAGGAAACCTCACAACTACATTGCACTTTGTTGGATGTTAATTGGTTGAAGGCAATCGACAAGAAGCCTTACTTGACCTTGGTTTCGTGCGTCTTGGCATTCGTCAGCGAGGCGTATGTATAATCTCAGGGGAACTGATGTCATTTGAGTGATTCAAACTAGTGTCTCTCAATCCCGAAGTCAGAAAAGTTACTACTGACCTGTTCACAAGGTGACGTGGTTTCTAGTATCTCAAGGGACATCAGTTCCCCTGAGGTTGCAAATATATCTTGACAATGAGTGCCAACAAGCAGGAAATCTACGTTAAACAAGGATTCATTGTCGATTGTATCGAAACAAATAAAATATTTCCATTATGGACGAGGATGTTCTACCATGGAGTCATATATACTTTTACTTACCAACAAAGTGTACCTATCAATTCTGAAGATTAAAGTGCTCCATCTAATATAACTATAAGTAAAACCATCATTAAGCAACCTCTACAACCAGTCAAGCTTCGGTATTCCGTCTGGAAAAGTACTTTCCACAAAATAAAGCAATGTAACTGGCTATCTCAACAGTTGCTAGTGTGGCTTTTAAGTCGGTGATCCTATTCCCTTATTTTATGGGAAAATACTTTTCAAGGAGAAATATCGAAGCCTCACTGGTAATTTCAGCAGTTGCAGGAGTAGCCATTAAAGTCACTCGTGGATAAGTTGAGCATACAAGACGTGGCGCGTGTATGCGAGATGAATTACATGCGTGGTTTGCGTTGGAGTTGGAGTGGCCTTATAGGCCACCCTAGCAACTGACAAAGTAACCAATCAGGTTGAGGTATTTCGACTGAGAAGACAATTTTTCATAAGTTTTTCGAACAATTCATCTTTTGTAGCATGATTAAGGTGGTATTCATGATCATTTTTCGACTTAAACGTATTGTTTGACACTCCTAATTTCCCGTTACTATACAGGGTCAAATTAATGGACCACTATTGGCAGATGAGCTTCTATAAGTATCCCAACAGAGGTCGTGCTATTCGACTGTGTATAGCAACGAGAAATCACAAGTATCAAACAACACCAAATGATCCCTATTGCACAAATGGTGACCCTCTTGCCCCTGTAGCCTAGTGGACAACTCTTTCGCGTTTGAAACAATGGGCACTGGGTTTGAGTCTCAGTGGGAGTGCAGGTAACATCCACCTGACAAGTCCCAAGTAGGACAAAAAGTACACCTAGGATTCCACTGCCAGTCACTCCAATGAAAACTTAAACTCAGTTTTTTATTTCGGTAATTGTTAAGGTAGCTGATAGTCATTCAAAATCTCATGATTATTGTAAGAAATCCTATGTAACAAAGAAAATGGGATTTACTCTAGTGTTTACAGAAAATCTGCTACTAGTGTGTATGTGTCAAGCAAGTATCATGAATTCAGACAGTTGACATGAGATGGATTTCTAGTTATCACTTCACTTCTTAGAAATTTTGTAAGATACATGTCAATCAGTAGTCTTCATTCAAGTTCCATTCAAAGTCTATGAGCATCAATCTAGCGTTAAAAAACGCACTTTTAACTGAAGATCGCTAAGGCCTAAAACTATAGGAGTCCATCACACTTCAACAGTACTAATGGTAGTTTTTATTGTACATACCTATGCACTTATGTACATACTTGGAAGATAGCACAACGTCTTGAAACTTACATGTCAAAGATTACCTGGGTCGCTACTTTTAATCACCTAAGCGTAACTGAAATATTCAACTACTATAGTATCTTCGAAAAAATCACAGGCTCAGGTTACTTTTCAATTTTATTTGTACTACACTTGACAGGCCGTTAGCCATTAAGGTAGAAGATTCGACCTTTAATTTTCTATGTTACTGTGTCATTTGGGGTCGGGTTTGTATGTCCCTAGACTAAGAAGAATAAGTTGCTTCCTGGTTTTATTTCAGTGTGTTAATTGAATGTCACATAGTGAAACAGTATTATTCACTGGATAACGTTTCAGATTGTGTGACGCAAACAAAAGTACAATTACAATCTACCATACTGCCCAAGTTGTACTCTTATATTACTTCCTGATTGTGTTGGATTCTCCAAACTGGATACTTTAATCATGAAGCTATCGCTACTTTTCTAGACAAAATCATCAGTGGTAACTTGTGTATAAAATGAAGCATTAGGATTTTTCTATGAGTGATTCAATAATCTGCCGGGATGAAATGGCACAACAATCAAGGAAAACTGACAATCTCGCATCACTTTGTCAAGGCCGATTTCTGACTCATGAAGAAATCCTGATAGCTCACTTCATGCTGAATTTAGTGTTAATGGTATTGTCTAGGAATAAAATTAAAAATTCACGTTTGAACCATCCAGCTCAGAGTACGTATTACAACCAAGATTTTCTACTTAAGTTAGAAATATTCTCCATCATTTCAGTAGGTTATCTGGTCTTTATTTCATCGTTTCTTTATACAATGAAAAGAGTATATACGCAGAAGTCAGGAGTAGAATTTTAGAGAGAAGAGGTTAGTCGGTTGACGTGGTTGTGAACCTTTATCAACTGAGATGGTTGAGACACGGGTTACGTATGCCTAGTCACCGATTGCCTCGTCACACAATGTTGGCTGAAGTAGGTCCAGGCTGGAAAAAGGCCTGAGATGGCCAGACTAAAGCATGGCACCAATGTATGAAATCTCTGACTGTTGGTTTGAGCCATGTGGGGCGATGTAGACTAGCAGGTTGCGGTCCCCGGGATAAGAGGAACCAGCAGTTGGAGACTCTAGGTGATATGATTCAGAACTGATAGCAGTGACGCAGATGTGTACATACATCCATCCTCATCTTAACGACGCTATACCGACTCTCACCATTTTCTCATTCTTCCTTTCTCTCTTTTCGCACTTTATATCTCTTTTGACTGAATTTTCTTATCTTCATCTTGCGCCTAACTGCCTTTTTACTTGATGTACTGATATGAGGTGTAGTAACTCGGACCGTTACGCAGTAATGCCTGGTCCTAGGTGGATCTGGATGGGATGATGTACGCACATGATCCATTTCCGTCTGGTAGAAATCGTTCTATCGATCACAGGCCAACGTTTATCCGCTTACATTTCCTTAGTTAGATGCAATAAAAGTAACTGGGAAGAAGGAATCGTTATTCGTTTGGACTTCAAGCATATTTACATCTCAGTTCCTTTTAAAATCTTCATCATCAAATTCACTCAGCTTCTTCAACATTAGATGCTGTTGGCAGTTTTTATGCCTTATGAAATAAAACTAATCATTGAGAGGTAGGCATACTTTTACAGCGATTCATTGACTTCTAAGTTCTAGTATCAGGTCGCTGACGTTAGGTTAGTTAACTAAATCAATGGCCTAAGGTGAACATCATCATTTAAGGTCAAAAAACTCCGAACAGTAATAATCCCGGTCATGAGCAACAAATCTTCTCTAAGGTATTTTTGTGCAGCATATCAATAATTACTATCATATCTTTCATATTCTAGATATTCAAGGAAACTTTATGCCATACTCTTGTAATCCTCACGATAACCAACAACGGGGATTAGTTGTCTTGATTATGTGTGTTGAGTATACCCTGCCAAAGGAGTAGTGCTTTGTAATTATCG